TATATCAACCACAAAACTGAATTTCTCTCTTTCAAAGTGTTGAGGCAGTAGTAACACATTTCATAAAAATAAAAAGTTCTCAGTCTTTCCATCTTAAAAAAAAAAAAATCAAGGAAATTTACTTTTCAATATAATTTTGCTCTGAAATTTCCTGTACTGTAAATATACTTTCCTACCCCCCAGCAGAGTCTTATCAGACATAAAAGCTCAATTATTTGATGAATTCATAGAAGAGAATATCAAACTGAGGGACAAAACTCTGCCTTAAAAGCAGCATGTATAACATGATGCATTTTCTATAAAATTTAAGTGCATGCATGAAATTGCATAAATAATCTAGAAAATATGATGTCCAATCTTTTGACTTGCCTGGGCCACACAAGCCCAAGGTTAATAATTTAAAAGTTCCATGCCAGCTAAGTAATAATAAATACCTGTCTTCACAGGCACATATACATGTAGGTATGAAATATTATCACTGTTTTATTCCCTAAAGTTATGTAAGGTCATGCTTTATCTCTGACAGATCCACTTCAATTCCATTTACTGGTGTGTGGAACCCTTGGAAAGTAGAGTAGCACTGCACTGCACCTCCCTACACAGCTTTCCACTGTAATATATACAGTCTCAGCTCCAACACTGAGCAATCAAGCCATGAAAGACAGCAATAAAAGGGGATACAATACTAACTGTATGGGGCCACATGGCAGCCCATGGCTCCAGGTTGGATGTGCCTATCTAGAAGACAACCTAGAACTGTCAAAACAAAGGTAGTCTCTAGAGTAATACTTCAGTTTTCCTTAATTTCTTCAGACTATCTGGAACTTTCTAAATCTTCCAAAAGTATCACATACTGACAAGGTAGTTAATATATTTTATGCATATAAAATGAGGCTAAGAAACTTCTGCTATAGGCTAGTTAAAACTGTGTAATGAAAAGTAGCTTGCAACAACTGACATCTCTATAAAATAATCTACAAAATGTACTTAAGTAGTTCTTCAAAACAGAATGCAAGATTCCACCCATCTGGCATTACACAGTATGTCTCTATAAAACACGTCACAAGTAATTTCCACAAAACACTGTACAGTAGTTCCTTAGTTATAGATACACCTCTAAAAAGCTAGACTGGTCACATGCATATGAAGAATGACTGTTAATTTAAGAACAATTGTGATTTTTACCAATGTATGTGATTTTACATTTAAAGATCTCATTCTCAAGAAAAGGACATGTAGTTCAGGTAACTTACATGTCCAGTAAGACACACAGGTTTCTACTTAGTTAGAAATATGAGACTGAAAGGATTACTCCATGCCTTTAAACTTCCATTCCTGTGCGAAGACAATGTAAGCATCTTCTAAGGTTGTTGCATGGTCTGAATCAGGTATCACAGATGGTGCAAATGGTCAACCCCATCTGGTCACTATTACTAGTAGTCCAAGAATGTAATAATCCCCAGAATGCACCTCTCTTCACTTTGACCAACATGCTCTAAGTAAAAGTGCTACGTCTGTGCAAATTTCCAGAAAACACAATTGACTACTTTGGCTTTAATCAATGGTAGACATTTCACACTTGTGACCAAAGGAGGTGAGGAGGAATCTATGACCTTGGCAACTTTATCACACACAGCCTGCCTCTCATGGCTTCTGAATGCAGCTTCTGCCCTCAGGTTCCAAGATGTTTACCTAGGCTCACTCCAATGGGTATTTAGATTTAAAAAAAAAAAAAAAGAAGAAGAAGAATTAATACTAGTAAATTCATGAGAATGCTGAAATACCACCAATCCATGGGAATGAAAATTAAAGCAGCATATTAATTTACTTGTTTAAAGCAAACAGTTTAAAATACAATACTACTAACCTTTCCAAAAGAATTAAAAGCACAGAAGGCACACAATTTTCTCTATTCAGAGAAGGGTGTATCTATGCCCCATCCATTTATTACCAGAACTGAAGTGTCATTCTTTTCATAGATATTATTTCCTAGTGCCAACTGTATGTTGTCAGCTATTCACCAAAGAACAAGGAAGCTCAATAGAAGACAGTCTATTCTCACTGAGTTCCAGTCTAGTAAACAATCTGATCAGTAACAACACTTCCATCATCAATATTTGTTAAATATAAATTAAGAAATACATAAATTAAGATTACTTTTTAGCTTTCTTACTTTTAACAAATACTGGTAACTATGTAGAAATCTTAAAGCCCAATAGCTTTCTCTTGTTTTCTCCTAAAACACACCTTAATCAGCCTTAATACTTACACCAATACTCATTTTTATCTCTATTTGTCATGTTCTTTATTAAAAACAGTCAAGCAACAAATGACATCGCTTGACCTTATTTCTACTATTAACTTTAAGAAAACAGAGTAATTACACTATAAACCAAGATGATATGATTTACAACTTACTGTGTGCCACACATTTAAATTAAGATTATAGAAGACATTCTTTAGATTATAAATCTACACATAAATTCTTCACAAAATTCACATAGGATAATTGCGAACATATAGAAGCAATTCAAATTAGTGTCAGATGTCCAACACATGTTAATCTGTAGTTTGTTTTTTATTACAGTAAAGGGGATTGAACCCAGGGTCTCTGCACTGAGCTACATCTCCAGCCCTTTATAAATTTTACTGTCTCTCTCAGCTTGCCCAGGCTGGGCTCAAATTCACAATCTTTTTGCACCTCAACCTCCTAAGTGTTGGGTTACAGGTGTAGGTCATCACACCCAGCAATCTTTAACATTTTAATAAAACTATACAGGACTGGGAAAGTACAGCTACATTTTATTTTCTGGTATTTTATCTTAGTACCATTACATGAAATTTGTAAGATGTTATTTTAGCAGACAACAGTAGAAAATAAAATGTGTGAACTGTTTCTATTGTGGTTAAGTACAAAGTGGTCAAGATAGAACTTGGAAGCACTAACCACTGAGGAAACAAAACACAAAAGCTACCATAATGTAAGATATTCAAAGGTCAAAATGGGAAATCATTTACCGTTTTCAAATCTACGAGGGAAAAAAAACTGTAGTATTTCCTCTTAGTACCACTTAAAACTCTAAAACTACAATATACTACCCTATAGTTTCAGACAAAATGTATCAAAAATCATCACAGTGACTACTATGTCCTACACATTCTAGGAAGGGCTTTAAAACAAACTCTCACAACCACTAAAAAAGATTATGTGACATTACCACTCCCATTTCATACAGCACTAAGAAATTCAAGTTATTCATTCAAGGTCACAAAGCTGTTATATGGCAAAATCAAGATTCACATCTAAGCAATTTGATGGCAGAGCTCCCTGTTAATCATCCTATTCTTGTGCCAAAGACAGAAGAAAATGTTCTTTTTTCGTCATAGTTAACAACACCAATTCCAAGCTCTAAAATCTTTGTGAGTGCTATGTGCCTGAAGTGAGCAGAAGGCCATTACTACACAATTAATAGGAGCTTGGGAGAGGAAAACCATAATATCCTAACTGATGGGATGACTCTCCTAATGGACACACGCTAATATTCTGGTGAAAACTCATCTTCAGTTGCTCAAACTTCAATGAATGTCCCTGAGGCAATTACAGTGGTGTTACTTAATATGCCAATGTTATCACTAGTGCAAACACAGGAATTAAAACTACCCGGCATTGTTCATTTGAAAGGAATATTAAATAACTGATTCTGATCACACCTGTTTAATTTTTCTAACTTTTAATTTTTAAGGTATATTTTTAAGGTATATTTAAGATTCTAATTTTTAAGGTACATTGAAGAACACTGTATAAAAATGATCAGGAAGAACTGAAAATACCTTTAAATTCAACCGAAAAGCCAAGCATGATGGCGCACGCCTATAACCTATAATTTCAGCACTCCTCAGGAGGCTGAGACACGAGGACCACTGTGAGTTCAAAACCAGCCTGGGCTACAAAGTGAGTTCAAGGCCAGCCTGAACTGCATAGCGAGACGCTGTCTCATAAAGACAATAAGTAAGTAAATACATAAATTAAATAAATAAATAATTCAACTGAAAGAACAGGTTATAAGAATGAAAGATAATTAATACGACTAAGAGCTTGCTCCTTAAACTTTTCTTATTTACCAAGTCATCTGTTGGGGGGAAGAGGCAGCAAGTGAGCCAGCTAGCTCATGGGAGGGTTTAGCTGAAGTTAGATGGATGGAGTCCTCAGAAAACAACAAAGAATGAAGTCAGGATACCTTGCTGGTTTGGTACTGGTTCCTAAGATCCTCAAAGTGTTAATGCACTTCCTCCAACACAGCACAGATCTATCACTTAATAGACCTTTCAATGATTTTTAAAAAAAAAATTGCTCTTCTTAACAACTTTAATCCATGGCAATACAAATCCAGTTTTTTGTTTTAAATCAGTCCTTTTTACCCAAATAAAAAATTAGGCAAATATACTCTTGCTAACAACAGTATTTAAAGCAGATATTTGGGTATTTACTAAACTAGCAAAACAAATGGCAAGAGAAAAACAAAAAGAAAACACAAACAATATACTTTACAATGTCTAGAGAACTTCACAATCAAGACAAAATGCTGCTGAGACCAGCTTAATGAGGAGCCTTCATCTGAACAGATTTGTCTTCCAACTGTCCCAATGACGTCATATTTATTCATTTGCCAATTTCATATATATCTTATCAAAAGAAATATCTTAGATTTTTCAAGCTTTTAGTTGCACATTTTCATGGATACAACATGACAGTTTATTTCCAAGTAGCAGCACATTCCAAGTGTGAATACCAAAGTGAGTTAACAAGATGGAGTTAACTGATACTTTGCAGTTTCTAAATGAAAAATAGTAATTAAAAAAGAGAAAAATCAGGACATTTTTTAAATGTTTCTAAGTTTCTAATGTGGCCTGTTTTATGCCTACAGGACCTGGAATTTACTACCATGCAAAAGCCTGGGTACATTATCTACATGAGGACTAGGATTATTTTCATTGCTTACCTTCTTTTTATCCCTCATTGAGCCTTTCCCTCGGACCATTATTTTACATCCGGTTTCTGCTTCGAGCTGTTTAGCTGTAAGTCCTCTCGGTCCAAGGATTCTCCCAACAAAATTAAACTGAGGAGGAAGAAGTCATAAATTATTCACTTTATAGTGAATGCATAGCTCTTACAATGATTTTCAAGCATACTGTATATATACAAGTTAAAAAATTTTAGTTGGTTTTTCTCCGGTACCGGGAACCAAACTCACGACCTTGCGCTTGCCAAGCAGGCGCTTTTGCCGCTGAGCTAAATCCCCAGCCCCCAAGTTAAAAAATTTTAAATGTGAAGTAGAAGTAAATTCTTGCCAAGTTTAGGAATAACTCATTTAACTCAGTATAGTGAACTGTCTACCTATGCACAATATATAGTAGAGTATATAAAAAAGATGACAAAAGTATTAAACACCACCCAAGAATGTAAATCCTTCCTACAAAATTTCTGACTCTCTCCTCCAAATGACAAGCCTTAGTGATCACTCTTTTTAACAGAAATCCTTAGGAAGAAACTGTATTTTATTTTCTAAATAGAAAAGTTTTAATTCTGAATTGGTTGTTAAAGCATGGGTCAAAACCTGGGTTCTACCCTGTACTAAATATATGTCTTAGATGTACGTATACATTTTTCATCACATTTTCTAAACAATTTTATGCTTGCATTTTTTCTCACTTTCCATTTCTATCTTTAACTCATACTTCTTTCCATGAATAACATAATAAACTCTTTCCATGAATAACACCATGATATATGTAACAGTGTAAACAAAAATTTACCATCTTCAACAGAAACTTCTAGTACTCATATAAAGTACAAGTATTTTTAAAGGCCAATGGGAAGTATAGCCTGACTTCCAATACTGAAGTGTATTTTTCTCATTCCCATGTCATTTACATAGAAAACCAAAGAATGAGTGCCTATCATCAGTTCCACAAAAACCCATGAGGGTTTTCATTTATTTATGTATTTATTTAATCAAGTAAGTATTACTCTTACCCATACAGCTTCCTACCTTTTCTTGTCTTGAACTTATCTTACTGTTAGTGTATCACTACATAAAAGTAATAGGCTGGAAAGTCCACTTTTATGAAGACATAAGCTGGGTACTTCCTTCATCCTCTGTACTGTAATCGCTCTTACCCTGCCTCACAAAGTGGCACACCCACACTGTCATATGTTAGAAATGTGACTCTCAGATGAAGAGGCGGGCAGTACACATCTATACCTAAAGAAAATGAGCCACCCCTTCACCCCCACCAGATTTTCATGCAACTTTCTTTAACCCCAAGTTGAGACTCAAAACTTCTGGTCTATAGGCACTTGGTCTACCGCAACACGACCTCAGATTCAAAGCCTTTGTTCTTGCCCAATTTCTCATTACAGGGCACTTTATTTACCTCTTTGCTGAACCTAATCCTGAACACATAATTGGATTTCCTTTACCAACCTAGTATCTAGCAATTATGTTTCTTCATTATTGTGTCCCACAAATTTTAGGTGTGTTCTTTTGGGTTATTTATGAAAATATATTACTTGCAAATGACATTTTATTTTTTATGTAATTTTCATTTCTTCTTGCTATTCTTACAGCACTGACTGGCACACCTTACAATCAAAACCAAGTAAAAATGTATCATCTTTCACTTGTTCCACATTTTAAAAAATAAAGACTTTCAACAGTTCACTGTGAAATCTTAAGTAATCTGCAGGCACTTCTTTGTAGACAGCCTTTTCTAGACTACAGTGACTTACAACTGTCAAATGTAAAAGCAACCTTACATTCCTAAAATAAACTTAACTTGATCATGAGGCATTATTATTCTCTTTGTAAATTACTGAAATCAGTTTCCCAGCATTTTGGTGATTTTTTTTAAATGTACATTCATGAGTGGAGCTGGCCAGTAATTTCACTTTCTTATAACATGACTCTCAAGTTTCAGCAACAAAGTTATTCTGGTCTCAAAACAACACTGGGATGTAGCCCAGCTTTTACTCTAGATGAGCTTGCATGTGAATGGTGTTATCTATCAGTATTGAGTAAATGTGCTGGAAATACCACCTGGCCCAGAGTTTTCTATGTGGAAGACTTTTATTATGGAATCAGTGTAATTCATTATTTTCTACTCCTAGGTATGGTTAATTTGGATACATTGTGCCTACCTAGAAACATGTCCATACTGTCTAAATTTTGAATTTTTTTTTGACTCGGTCTCGTTTTCCTTTTACTATCTGTATGATCTGTAGTGACATGCATTTTTCACCCGAGTAGTTATCTGTCTTTGTTTTTCTTGACTACTCTCCAGAAACACCTATTTCTGTTGACTGGGTTAGACTGATTTCAAAATTAGTCACAATTTTCCACTCTCTCATAGTACTTTTTTCATTTGCCATGTAAATTTCCACCTGCCTCCCCCTCCCCCAATCTAGGATAGCATTGTGCCCTGCACTGGCCAATACAAGATAGTAGGAAGAATGATGTGCTACTTAAAGGACTGTCAGCCTTATGTGGCTTCACTCTTACAGCTCAGTTCTCCTATGTAAAGAACTCTGGTCTAGCCTGCTGGAGAATGAAAAACAAGTGACTAGGTAATCATTAATGGCCACAGTCAGCCAACTCTGCAACACAGAACTCCCTGGTTGATACATAGCTAACTACAGACACAGGCCAGAGCTACTCTGATAAACCCAGCCACAGAAGCAGGAATTCAAAAAGTGGTTTAAGGATTACATATTTGAGGATGGTTTATTACAATGCAGCAGCAGTTAAAGGATATATTGATTCTCTTCATTTTGTATTCATTTGTCTTGTCTCAGTTGCCTTTCATTCCTCTTCCTTCCTTTGGGTTTAATCTGAGTATTTTTTCCTACTTATTTGAAGTGGATGGTTTATTTATTGTATCCTTTTAAAAATACAATGTATACATTTAAAGATATAATACATATATATCTATGCTGTTTTTAGCTATACCCCACAAGTTCTGATAGACAGTATTTTCATTACAATTCAGGTAAAAATAATTAGATAGCTACTAAACATTTATATTTATTTTGCTCACTTCAAATATAAGAACTTCTACTTCAGTTTTTAATTTCTAGTTTTCTACACTATAATCAGAAAATATACTATCTAAAATATCAGTCCTTTAACACTTTTTAGACTTGCTTTTCAGTCCAACGTACAGTCAATGAATAAATACTCTGTGGAAAAAAAAAAAAAACCCTGTGGGTGCTTGAAAAGAATGCAAACTCTAACAACGATTAAGTCAGCTGTTTTTGCAGTACTGGGGATCCGACAAGGGCCTTCTCCATTTTAGATAAGCACTCAAAAGTTTTATTTGTTCTTTCATTTCTATTTTTGCTTTATATGTTTAGACGGTATGTTATTTGGCATATACAAATGGAAAATGTTATTTTTCTGTCATGAAATAGCCCTCTTTATTTTCACTAATTTTTGCTTTTAAAACATTTACTAAAATATTAATATGGATATAAATTTTTGACTTTTAAGATGTGTGTTTGATTCTATTACTTGGTTTCAATCTTTTTTATCTGTGCATTTTAATTGAGAAGTCTAAGCATAGCATCCAAGTGAGTTTTGTTTCTTCACCCAACCTGTCCATCTTTGAAATTTATATTAGTCCATTTACATGGTTTTATCTACTTTCTTACTAAGTGTTTTCTACCTGTCCTAATTCAATGTTTTTTCTTTCTTGACTCCTTGAGTGTGTGTGTGTGTGTGTGTGTGTGTGTGTGTGAGTGTGTGTGTATGTCTACGTACACGTGTGCTGAGAGACAGGGTCTGACATGAGCGAGCATGTTTTATTTCCTTGTTTACCCTATAGTAACATGCTTTAAAACATTAATTTCTACTTTCACTCATTTTACATTCAAAGACTCCAGGATGCATAACCCCACTTATCTCCAATCTGATTCACACCCCATTAATTATTCTTCAAATGTTACCTTCACTTTTCACTCTACAGAATTATTGACACTTTGTACATATAAAATGCATTTAAAGTAACCAACACATCTACCATTTAAGTTGTTCTTTATTCTTATCTGCATGCTCAACTTTCCAGTTAACTAGAATCATTTTTCTTCTACCAGAAAGATATTCCTGATATGAAAATGTTTTTTCAGTGACCAGGGAAATCTAGCTGAATGGTTATTTTCCCGCACCACCTTAAAGATGCTATCTTCTGGATTCTAGTGTTACTTCTGAGAAGTGAGCTGAGAGCCTTACTACTACTGTACCTGTGAAGGCAATCTTTTCTCTCTTCTGGTTGTTTTTCAGATTTCCCTATCACTAGTTTTCACCTTTTTAAATATAATGCGCCCAGGTGTGATTTTCTTCACAGTTACCAAAATTAGGGGGAAGTTTAATATGTCTGTGATTTTATTTCTTAAGTTTTAAAAATCTCTACCACACTCTTCAAACTCTGCTTCTGTCCTACTGTATTACTCTTTTTAGTGCTACTAATATATCTTCATACTGTTTTTATTTTTCATTCTCTCTCTTGCGTTTTCCAACCCTTTGTCTCTTGATGCTGAGGATTTTCTTGTGAACTACACTATAGTTCATCAATTCTCTTCAAATACTCCAAATCTGTCAAACCCTACTGTTGACACCTGTTAAGGAATCTTTATTATATTTTCCATGCCTCTGCTTAATCTTTTGTCTCCAAACAGTTTGAACACAGCTCTTACAAAATGTGAGTATGATAATTCTAGCATCTACAGTTTCTATGGAGTGTTTTTTCCATTTTGTTTCTTTAGTTTTTGTAAATGTCATCTTGCTTCCTTATATAGCTGTGTTAGTGTATGTGTGCCACACAATATAGTTAATAAATGATCTACAGAAATATGGTAAGGTTAAGATATGTTACCTTCCTCCAGAGAAGATGTATGCTAGCTTCTGCCAGGCATCTAGAGCTAGTTATTAGCAACCCAAGATAATCTCAACACAATTTCACTCATTTAAGACTATTTTTAGTCAAGGCAGTCTCTATTGGGACTAGGGACATTCTGGGTAGAAAATTACACCTGCAGTGCACACCCATCAGTGTCCCTACCTAA